AAAGTGTGTACTTACTTTTGGGACACCCTGTATAGAAGTGTGGACCAGATTCCACGAATCATCTCAGAATGGTGGATTAAGAATTCGTGCACTCTGAGAAGATATGGCTACGCTACGGTCACATGAATCGGGCAATTGTGCGTCTTTTTTCCACGAGTACGAACTGTATTGTATGTTGTACACTATGGTTTGAGTTTAATACTGGTGAATGCTTCCAAAAACTCGCAGAAGTGCACAGACCAATAAAATATCGAAATGAAAATGTAAGATGATTGGAGCATAGATAATTGCTGCAAATTAGTTCTTTGACGAGACAAGAGCATTTATAATAACTATGGGGAATTTAGAAGATGTGGAAAAGTGTCACACTTCCAGAACAAATGTTCACGCATGGTGTAGTTGCGATGGACATAAATGCAGCTGCAAATGTCTTATCCATCGGACTTGGGGCTGGATATATAAACTCATACCTTCACCATAATTACAGAAGAGTACTTTTGTGTAGTGCACCTATATGGCTAAGATCATAAATTGTGAAAATTTAGATGAACATAAAGGTAGTCGAGATAGATGAAGTTATGGTGAACATTTCAAGAAAATGGTTCGGATTAAACCCAGACGGTAGACAAAGGGTCATAATCGAAGATGGAGCTGAGTTTGTGAGAACAGCGGTGCGAGAGGAGCGTAAGCATGTTACCTAAAACATTTCCTGTTTTGTTCACTTTGTTATGGTAATATAGGTCGAACATACAATGTCATATATCTTGATGCATGTACAGTATCAAGAAATGGGACGTTGAATTGTCCCCCTGATAACTTTTTGTCTCTGGAAGTCGTGTCCAATTTCCGAGAATTATTGAACGATAGAGGTATGAAACATACAATTCGATTGTTAGCAAAGAGAAATTTGATTTAGGGATACTGATTATACATGTGATGTCTGACTCAGATCTCAAGGATGCAGCCATCAGGGTAAGTTTTGGGCTTATGCGTTCATTATTTCACGTACACATTGTGGCAGGCAAACGTACAAAACCTTCATTTATCTTCGGTAGCGACATGCTCTGAAAACTGCAAACCTTGGTTCATAATCTTGGGCAGTGTACACCCAAATGGCAAAAAAGGAGAGCGTCTGCGAAAGAAAATATATGTAATAGTATTCGACTCTAAAC